TTTTATTTATTTTTTTATTTTATTTAGCATCTGTAGGGATACACTATGGTAATTCCAATTTTCTGAGCCAATACGGACTTTCTATATATGTACAGCTCTGACCTTCCATAAAAAAATAAAAATAAAAAAATAAAAATTCTGATACAGATTTCTCTTAAAGAGCTATAATAAACAGAGTAAAAATTATCCATCAGTCCATTTCCCTTACCTTCTTTTCATTGTAGAACTGGGGCTCTTTTCCAAGTTTCACTTTGCAAGAAGCATTATTGCTAATCTTTTACACACACATATATATATATATATATATATATATATATATATATATATATATACATTTCTGTTACTTGGTTTTAATGTGCCAAATTTTTTTTGTCACACTCAAATTAATCATATGCCAATGTAGTTTAAAGTACAATATGTATTTATTTGTGCTGACAGGAGGAACGGCTGGCTCCTGCCCGCAGTCTGGCGGTTGTATTTTCAAGCATGGCGTTATCACCATCACTCCACAGGATCCTCGCTGCGCTACATCCCCCGTAGGGCAGTTCTCTACTGCCCTGGCAATGATGAACGAAAATTGAAGAAACTAGCCTTGCTGGATGTCGACTGTGTGGTGCTGGATTGTGAGGATGGTGTGGCTCTCACCAAAAAGGTAAAATAAACTCATTCATTTCTATGTGAAAACACAATTCACCGTTCGATTAAAAAAAAAGAAAGGAACACACATGAGCACTCACAGCTTTGTGACCCAGGCTGATTTTAATTTTATCTCCCTCCACCAAACAGGTGTTTGGTCTTAATCCCTGAAAAGAAAACTACGTAAGTGAGATGTTTAAAACAAGTACATTTCACCCCATTGTGGTTGAGAAAAAAGCTGTGGTTTCCCCCTCCATCAGTCCTTTAAAGCAAGGTGACCACTTCCCACTGGGTGAACAGTGGGAAAGCACCAGATGCAGCAGGTTAAAAGCATTCTCCTCCTACCCACTCAACCTCCTCATTGGCCCAGCTGAACTGCCCATGAAATTGTGATTGGAAAGTGGGATAAAGAAGGGGCTGGGGCAAAAAGTTAACCAACAAAGGTTTCTTAAGTCACGATAATAAAGATGATTGATATAGCTGGAGGCTGTTCCTGTAGGAGACAAAGACAATAAAATGATGGCCTGTGTGACTGACAGGCTGAAATTGTGACCCTGCAATGGTGTTAGTGGATGTTAGCTTTAGTCTTTATTATGCGTGAAAGAAGGGAGATGTGGAAAGGAATGCGTCACAGAAGACACTGTGCAATTTAGAAAAAATTTCAGAAGCTGGACTTCTGTCTAAAGTGTAACTCTACTTGATTCTCTAATCTGCCTACATATTATATTGCTGTATGTGTAACTGAGTTTGCAGGAAGTGATTGTATACTTTGAATATGACATGATTTGTTTCCCCTAGTTTATATGCATATATATATATATATATATATATATATATATCCTCTGTCTGCAATTAGCTGGTGAGTTGCACTTATCCGACTTATCCGCAGCGTATACGCTTTTACAATTTAAGTTAATAATCATATTTGTTACATGGAATTTCCATTCCTGTAAAATATCAAAAAATGTCTCTCAGCAGGTTATAACATCCAGCTGTAGCACTTTTGCTAATGCAAGTCAAAATACCAACAATCATTTCTGCTAAATAGAACTGTTCAACAATAGTTCTCTGCCTTATAATCCCAATGCTTTCTCCTATTTTCTGATGTCTTTATCAGCACTATACTGGACAAATGAAGGCATTTCACTGAATGTTTTTAATTCAATAACCTTAAGTAAAATGTGTTGTGATCTTAGACTTTTAATTCACTTGAAGTTTTTGGTGTTTTGCATTTTTGTGGTTATTAAAAAGTCCAATATGAATTATTTAAACCTGATTTAAATGTTGCTTTTCCTTTTGAATGATCATTGAGTTGTTTGTGAGTTCTGGAAATACCATTATGACAATTGTTTTAGATGTTACCTTTTTATTTAGTTTTATATTGTGTTATTTTGCTTTATGTATGAAACTTGATAAATTTGATTTTCAAAATATTTGTCCTTCATAAAAGTGTTGTGTTTTCTGTTAATGTGTTTATTTGTAGTAATTAAACCACCACAATAATTTTCACATCTTCTACTACTATATATTCATATTTTCTACTACCTGCCTGTCTGTCATTACTTTTGTGAGGTTATGAAAATGTATGCACATTTATATTTACCATAAGTGTATAATGTATTTTTTTAATACATCTCAAAATATGAAAATGTTGTGAAAAAGTTCAATTCGTTTTGTCAGTCATTTCAGAAAGTGAGACTCATTTATTACATAGATTCATTACACAGATTGAAATATTTCAAGCCTTTCTTTCCTGAAATTTTGATGAATATGGCTTACAGATAATGAAAACCCAAAGTTATGTGTCTCATAAAATGAGAAGATTGTGAAGAGGTCCAAAATTATAAACTCCTGGTGTCTCACCTTAATCAACTGCTTAACTCTCAAACATTAGCTACAAATGTTACATTCCTCAAGTCAAGCCACTCCTGAACCAGAGACATCAGAAGTGTCTTATCTGCTGAGGAGAGAAAGAACTGGACTGTTTCTCAGTGGTCCAATGTCCTCACTGACACTGAATGACACTCATCCTTCCTCTCCCTCCCTAGACTTATAAGGGTTCTTCAATTTTCTTCCAACAATTGGCACAAGGTTTATTAGTTGTTGTTTGTTTTTTTCCCCATCTTCCTGCATTTATTATATGTTTATTTTAGTGTTATTTCTCCATATTAAAAAAAAAAAAAAAAAAAAAATGTTTACTTTTTTCTTGCAAAACTTTAAAAAACAGTACCGGTTCTTTTATTTCAAATCACATGTAGAATTTGCTGGACATTCTTACTTCTTGCATGCAATCACTAAATTGTACAAGTGACAAAGATTTGCAGGAAGCTTTATAAACACACCCTGTGATGTATTTTTTAAGATGCATTCCAACTGATCTGAAAATGAATTAGAGATTTAACCGTTACAGTGCGAGTGTGTTTGTGCTGACGGTTTCTACCGTGTAAAACATTGCTGCAATTATATTCACCATGACAACCACACAGTCCGCACTGTGGGTTTGCCAATCCATGGAAGGCCTCAACAATGACTCAAAGTCTCGTAATGTACGTCTAATGGGAGAAAAGCACAGACTGAGCTTTCTAAATGTCATCCTGCAGCACTGTTTTTGTTGAAGGGCACAATGGACTTGGTGATCAGAAAATTTAGTCACTGAGTACACATGGATAAGCTTTAAATAGAGCTGCTGCTGACCACAACGTTTGACTGTGCTCCTTTCATTATCCTTCACCTTAAAAGAGAACAAGTATGTTTGTGCCAAAATAGTACATGGTAAAAATTAGTTTTCTGTTTCTCTTTAAACATTAGGAACGATTTGCTGTAATTCTCTGCCACTTTGACTTGAAAAACATTAGCTCTCTGCTTTGGAAGAGATGGTGACAGCTTAAGAGTTAGGGAGACGAGACAGGGAGTAAAGGGTAGGAGCCACCCAGAGTTTGCTAACTGTCACAATGGACCTGGAGGGGAGAGAAGAAGGAGGAGAGAGGGGAGGGCAGACAAGGCTGACTGCTCTAACACTCTTACACATATCATCATATCTGTATGATCAGTGGGGTGGAGGAATAGGGAGGGCAGGTTGAAACCCTGGAGCGGAACTGACGGCTACACCTGTCCTCTCTCCTCCTCTCTCCGTTGCCATCTTGTTCTCCATCGCCTGTCCCCCACACCTCCTCCCCCTTTTTATTGTCCTTAGGGTTAACATTGTTTATCTCTTCTCCCCCATGTTCTGTCTCTGTCTTTTAGTGCCCTTTGGTCCAGTATTCCTCCTGGTGTTTCGCTTTCTTCTTCTCTTTTCCCCACATGGGTCCCTCCATCCTCCGTGACTCCCCCCTGCCTCCTTGCCGCAGAGAGTCTTTCCTAATCCCTGGAAGTTTGAAACTAATGAAGTAACTGCTGAGCCGCTGCCACGGAGCTTGGTCCCAAACTATACTGTACTTCACACTCGATTTCCTCTCCAGATGGCATAGTGGCGCGGCCGACACAACAGGGAGCACCTCTCACACACCAGCGCGTGCATTCAAATGCACACAAGACAGGCAGGATGCAAACATGCACACGCATGATTGAATGTGTGAATGTCCGCGTGCGTCGGCGCTCACACATTGGCACAAAAACACAAATAGCAAAGAATAAACGAGAGGCTCAGGGGCATTCAACTCAGTGTGGACACATTTAAACCTACAGCACCCTGAACTGAAACACATCGCAGTGTTCACCTCTGGGTCTTCTGCATTTCCTCTGAGGCCTAAAACAACACAAATTAAGTCTGTTGAAGTGTGAAATGTGCCTCTTCTCTGGAGCGTCAGGCACTCAGCAGCCTCCAAAGCAGTTAAATCAGGAAGTGCACTTTTTAGCTGTACTAATTCAGATCTCTTGATGCTTCACCTTTCTGTAGGTTCTGAGTGTGTTTAATTGTGCCCTAGAGCGCAACTGCTGTGAAACAATTAGAGATCAACATTTTATTACAGTACTCTGTGTTTCGTCCCACAATCTGGATCGTTTTCATTCATTCTGCAGCTCAGTCAACCAAAACATTATGGTGCATAATACATCAGTGAATGTCCTGTTTCTACCCATCTGATCTGGTATAAATTACAGTATCAAGTTTTCTGGTTTCCAATATAAAATGACAGTTTTATGGGCCATTTTTAAGACAAAATGTTACATAACTTTCAACTAGTAACTTTTTGTTACTAATTTCAGAAACAGATACTGTCTAACTCTGAACGCTAGGAAACGCCTTGTAACTGCGACGTTCCTTCCCTCCACTGACTACATTGACGTTATTTACATGAACGTCCCTACAAGCACCCTGCAGATGTTGGACGCTGTCTATCATGGTGCACTAAGATTCATAACTGGCTGTAACTACTGTACCCACCACTGCACCCTGTATTCACTGGTTAACTGGTCATCAACTTCACGCAGATTCTCTCACTGGTACATTTTCATCTTTAAATCACTTCTTGGTCTGTCGCCTTCATTTATCTCCTCCTACATGTCTCTGCGTGAGTGCAGCTACAGCGTGCGCTCTCAGGACATTATTACATGCAGTGTCCCCTCAGTGCAGACTGAGCTAGGCAAAAGTTTCTTCTACTCTGCTCCTGTTTCTTGGAACAACTTGCAAAAAGATCTGAAGCTCTCAACCTTGACCTCTCTAAGAGGCTTTAAACATCTGTTAAGTTCCTGGGAAAACCAATGCATACATGTTACTGTTTTTAGTATTCTACATCGCCTTACAACCTAGATGTTTTTTTGCTACTTTTCCTTTTAATTACCATTTTATTTTCACTTGTTAAAAAACATAAATAAATATGTATGCATCCTTTATGATTGTCTGTTGTTGTCTTTGTTGTCCAGTGTTGTCATCACTCTTTGTTAAAATCAGGTCTATTGTGGAAATGAGTCCCCAAGACTCAGTGGAATTAACTTGTATAAATAAAGATTGAATGAATGAATAACTGAGACACAAAGTCAGTTCTCATTATTTTATATGTTTTTATGTAACCAAACATT